TGTTTCACATATTGAGTCTAGAAGATTCAAGATCCCTTTCTGTGTCTCTTCTTTTTTTTTTTATTTCTGGGACTTATCTTTTCAGTTTAATCTATTAATTTCTGTTCTTATTTTTTTTTTTTTACTATTTGCCGATTTCACAAGACATAATTTTTATCAACTAGTTCTTAAAGATGCATAACAAATTAATCGGGGTTTACTACAGTGCTAATGAGAGAGAGACAGAGAAAGCCTGGGTGGTCCATGTTTAATATCAATGTCCACTGAAAAATTGCTGCTCTTACTGGCTGGTTTGATTGACTGGACTTTTTATTTTATTTTTATTTTTTTAAAGGCTCCATATCCTCACTGCTTTGAGTTTGCTTTTTTTTATTTTCCCCCCCCCCTCTGCTTTGTTATGAGTTTTTAATGCCCACTTGGAATGTAACTCACAAGGATGGGGTCAGGGGCGTTCCGAAGGCATGACTTCTCACAAACTTCTTAGAAACCATTTTATCAACGCAGCGAGAAGGGGGATTGGGTCGATTTGGTCTCACAGGCAGCCCCAGAGAGAGCGACTGGCGCTTTTTAAGGTGGTGACGTCCAGCAGTAGCACAAATGGCATCCCGGGTACCCCGTCCCTGGGACCTGTGTGACCCCGGGGTGTCCCAGCCCCACGCGTGCCCCACTCCTGCCCTCCGGCCTGGGGCTCTGGGAGCTGCCCCAGCACACGAGGGCCATGGTGAGATGCCACCAAGAGAGGGGCTCAGGCAGCTGCTGCCCCACACGATTCCTGCTCCCTGAGCCAGTGGGGCTGGCACAGCCTGGCACAGTGGCAGCTGTCCCTGCCGTGGCAGGGCTGGCACTGATGAGCTTTAAGGTCCCTTCCAACCCAAACCGTTCTGGGTTTCTCTGATTCTTTGATCCCAGCTCTGACCAGCGATGGTCCCGCACACTCCCTGCAGCTGCTTCTCCTTCCAAACTTTGCTTGCAAATCATGGGCAAATTTCCTAAATTGTGGCCAAGCTTTTCCTGCTTAAGCTGCATCCCACTGCGCCTCTTCATCTGCACCCAAGCCGCAGGAGAGCTGCAAACCTCCACCCATTGGCTTTGTTTAACAAGAGCAGGTTCTGGACTTTGGGGTAGAAAACACACATTCTCTTTAAATCCTGCTCTTCTGGAAGTGTTGCTCCCCATTTGATAAGTTTGTGAGAAGTATGGTGCATGCTTACAGTAGACCTGTAATGCATTTTAATGTTTGTTAATCCACTTGTTTAAAATGTCGGTGTCAAAGGCTCTACAATCCATGGCTGTGCTGTTCATTTCATTAAAGATGCTTGATGTAATACTTGGGTAGTTTTCTTTTGACTTTTCTGCAGGCAATAGCTTTTTTTAATCTGTATGGCTTCTTATTATTTTGTTTGGGTTTTTTTTTGCTATGAATTGCTTTGCTTTTGTGAACTTGTCTTAGTGTGCATGATTTGCAAACATTTCGGCTATTGTGAATTTTCTCATTTTTTGTAAATAGTCCATCTGTGATTTTCTTTTTTTCTTTTTTTTAATTTTTCTTTTTTTTTTTTCTTTTTTATGACTTTTTTCCTGTAAGTAACTGAGGTAGAAAATAATAATAAATTGTTTACAACGGATCTGCTGTGTTGCTGCTCTCTTAGCTTGCAATTTTAATATTTGGTTTGGACACCCCAAATAACCAGTACCAATGACAGTTGAATAAAAAAAATAAAACAACCATCACTCAGAGCGTGTGACCCACTGTTTGAAGAACCTGCAGAGGAGCAGTTACATGCAAGGTGTGTTTACAGCAAAAATTACACCCAAAAAAACCCAAAATGCACTCATAAGTGGGGGGAGAGGAAATTGCAGCATCCCCACAGGTCCTCTGCCACTGTGGTGGGATGTTCCTGCAGTGTCTTTATCCTGGTTATATTTTCTCCCATCATCACCTGAGTGCTTGGGGATTGTCGAAGTTTCATGGAAGCCTTCAGGTTAGAAATTTTAATTATTTATTTTAATTAAGGGTTTGTTTGCTTGTATGTTTGTTAAAGCTTATTAAAACCTTTGTATATGGTGAGAGGTGAGAAAAACAAATATTTTCACAAACTTTGCAGAGCTCAGGGAAATATATTTGCTTATTAATACTGGTGCTGCAGAGGCCATGAGCTCAGCTTTGGGTCACGCTCCTGCAGTGCCTGGGGCAGTGGAAATGCAACACG